AATGGTGCTCAGAGATTTCACCTTTACTAGCTCCGTTGGACATAATACAAAACTAATAATAGCTCCACCAAACATAGCAGATGGAACAATAATTTCTGGTCGTGGCCCATCATCTGGCAAAGTTCCCTTTACAATGAAAAAACAAAAAAAAGGAAGCAAAATTTGGAATCTGGAAGAAATAAATATATATTTGAAATACAGTGAAAGATCATTTGGCCTGCAATGTTACCCGCAAGAACAGCTTTGCCTGGGAGTATATACCGAACATCAATGAACTTTCAAAGGCCATTCCCAAAAACGACGATGTTGCTCCCCTATAAAGTCCTTTGACCTTAAATATGATTTCAAAATCAGAAAAAAAAACTTGTGTATCTAAGCCAATCAGGTGATAATGAATTTAGCAAGTTTCCATTGACACTGGTAACAAAGTCCAGACTTCGAGAACTAAATTTGTTTGCAGGATACTAGAGTCTAGGAGACATAACACATACTCCTTCGGTTTGCAGGATCCTTGAAGCACAATGCAGGCCGTTTTTGTATCTAAGCCCTTGAACATCTGTATTATGTTTCTGAAGTTTCACCTGCAAAAAGAAACAAAAGACAAAAAACCCCCAAAGAATCAACAATTACCTCCTGTAAGAACATGAGTGAAGCCAACACAGTGATAAAACTATCGAAAACGGTTAACCAGAACAAGAAAAGATATGTATGCCTACACAGCTCATAAGCAACAAACCCCAAATAAGTCCTAAAGGCATCAGAAGAACGCTCATTGACATAAAATGATGAATGAATTTCAATCATCTTTGCTTAAATAACCATTACCCAAACCAAGTACAGTAGCAGAGATGTTCATATTCCCACCAAACAAATCAAGAGATAATTTTGACGCTCCAGTGTTCTGACACCAATGCATCAGTAATTTTGAGGCAAAATTGAGCAGCTGAGTAATGGAATTCATGCATAAAGCATAATCCCATGACGGTTGAAAGATGAAACACATATGCCCATTTGGTATAAACAGATAAAACAGAGATTTGGCACACGCCCAAAATAGTCGAAATTAGGATTGAAATTGAGTACCTTGACGGTGTCGAAAGGATGGCCGACGGCGACGGTGGCGAGCCCAGCCATCATTCCGGCGACATATTCTTTGTAAAACCCTAAACCCTCTCCCGTCGTCGTCTTCCTCTCTTCCACCATGCCACCGAGTTTCACTCGGCTGTTTTTTTCTCAAATGTTTTGATTTCCTTCAAACAAAGAGGAACATTGCACAGTAAAATTCAAAATTTGCTAGATCGGCTGAATTTGATATCGGTGGCAGAAATTAACCTTTTTTAAAGAGAAAAAAAACTTTGCTTAAAAAAATGAAATTTAACATGTGTAATCGTTGTTGATTTTTGTTTTAACTCTGTATTTTTA